TCATACCACACGGAATAAGTTTTCATAAGAATACACTACTTGGCATGCGCATACAATATTCATTTTTTGAAGAACGTTAATAGCATGAATCAAGCACTGTCCCATTTCTACTTATGTGGCATTTTATAAAGGCTAATAATATCGCATTACTGCAATAACCAAAAGGCATTTCTGAATATGAATGTGACGATAACATTTGCTTGCGTTGTCACAGAATTAGATATATTTTCTAACTTACAATGAAAAGGAAAAAAAAATAATTTCAAAAAGCCAAACTACATAAAGTTATTGGTAAAAGTTCTGGAATTGTTGATAATGATATAACAAGAAATCCATGTATTTCCCGATTACCAAATTTTCAAAAATTTCTGCTGTAACAGGGCATATTGTTGGGTTAGTATTTCAATTAATAATAATGAAATAACCTAGCCTAATCTAAAACAATAAACTGCAAAATGTGAATAAAAACAAGAAAAAATACTCTGCCAGAGGTAGCTCACCGATTCAAAGGATTGGGATCGCGACCTCTTCCTTTTGTTGGGAAGCTATAACACCGAGACAACCAAAAAGAAAAAAAAATCAAACATAAGCGAGTGCGATACATAAATCTTGTAACCAACTGCGCCATTCCCCAACGCAGGCAAATACCACAAAGTGGCTGAGTTTTTGAGACAGAAGAAACGTGGGTACTCTATCGTAAAATTGGGGGAACAAAACTACAGATTGAATGAAATGAATACAAAGGATCGAAAAAAAAAAGATTAATAAAGGACGTAAAGATGAATATTCTAGAATTATTTTCACTAGAATGAAATAGGGTTAGTAATATCTGGTATTAATGAGTCTTGATTGTTGATCAGAAAAATACCAGCAATTTTTTTGCTGAAGATTTGTTATTTGTCCTAGCAATTTCGTTTCTTTTATTTTCAATTTCTAGTATTCGCAAACTGTGAAGCAGTAAATTAAACCCTAAACTAGATTAACTGATAATTCAATATACTGGGTGCCTGACCTAGCAAGAATAAAAGCTTATGTAAATTATCTTTAATAATTTTACTTTCTCCTCATTTTTAATTTATCATAATTTAACTAAATAATTTGTAACTTTTCAGCTCGAAAAGAAAAATACGGGAAAGCCTTGAAATCGCAGATTCTTAGAGATAAACAAAAATTGACGTCATCTTTGAATCGGCAAGAGAATGGGACAGTACTTGAATATATAGCGTATAGATTTTGGTTTGACTTTAAAAACCCTTGTGTTTTACACAAATCGTGCGTCTCTTAGATTCACAACGGCATATTGCAATAATCATAAAAAAAAATTGCCGATCGAGAGCAACAGATACATACATGTGTGGTCTATACTTATGTGAACATAAACAAACATTCAAACACTTCCGGGCAATAAGCTATCAAAATCTCCTGAACTTATATATATTCATATGGCTGGGTACGTAGAGAAAACATGCACCGTGTACAAACACCACGATAATACAGTGAATATGAAAGCACAACAAACCGGACACGTCACTGTGATAAAGTATATATTGTATTAGTGTCCGGAGAACAGACAAATTATGAGGTCTCATTATACAAAGGCACAATAAATGAAAAAATCTTGTTGCAGATAATGACTGACTGATTGCTAATAATTTAAGCAAGGTATAATGCAGCATCTACATTAACGAGCGCGCTGCTTGTCTCAAGCGTAAATCGCAATGCATTCCATGCAACGAAACACTACTAAACCATGAGGTGGTATGTGCCTGGCTGGGGAGAGCGTATTATTATTTGACTAATAAATATAGAAAAATGAAACAATGAACATTTCTACCCATAATATAAATTGAAAATTGTCAGCCAGGTGAATGCCAGTTTTTTTTATAAATTAAATTGGCAATCGAAATAAAACCTGGATGGTAAGGACAAGAACATTCAAACAATTTGATTATTGGGGAGCTTGCATAGTGTTTGGGAATTACAAAATGGAAACTGCTGCTTCAGATTTAAATTGATTTAGTTTTTAACAACATATTTATGCATATTTAGGTCAAATTGAGATAATAGTCCAGAAAAAAAGGAACTTTTTAAATGAATTTTGAAGGCTTGTACTATCAAGATCATTGCCGAATATCTTAGTAATAAGTGAAGGAAATCAAGACTACCAATACAACTACAATACTCATGTATTGGTTAATACTGAAAGAGTAAAGCAGAAATCTATCAGTAGAAATAGCATATTGCCTACTACACTCTAGATTGGGATAATATTATTATTCTACAGCTTACAATAAGAGAATGATGCAATTACTCTAATCTAATGTAAAATGCGTTTTCAGTAGTGTACATGTTCATAACATCGTTAATTATTAAAGATCGTTCACACAAGCTAATTAGAATTTCATCCTCGATTATAATCAGCAAACACATTTGATTGAGCTTGGTGATGAATGTTTAAAAAGTGTTTTAATAAAAGATTTCCTCAAATCAGTGCCAACACTCAAAATAGAAATAATTTAGTCAAGTAAACCATTCAATGAAAAATCTCTCACTATGCAATCATGTGTTTAATGATTTTTTTTCATTATAAAATTTGAAAATAATTAAGTCAGCACTCAGCACACGGGTAATAAGTACAAAGTGTGAAAAAAGTTCTTACCTTGGTGTTGTTATCTTTGTTACTTTTGCCCAATAAACTGCGACCTGAAAGTAAAAAAATCAGCTGAATATTCTAGAATGTTGCAATTCTATTTCGTAGCTCATTTGGGAGTAGGGAAATATGAGCGTTGATTCTAGATCTCTGAGTAAATAATCTTCTATCTTGTGTTTAACACCAATACTGGATATTGCCGATCATTTCACTAACCAACATGCACAGGAGTGGGGTATGTCTAGCTAGACCAGGGGTGTGCAACAGGCGGCCCGCAGGCCATAACCGAAAAAATGTTGCACACCCCTGGTCTAACAAAAACACATATACACATGAGTTATTATGGAGGTGATTTAGCCAGTAACACAAGAAAGCCCTGCTTCAGTACTGAAAATGAGGAACAACGTGCCTCAACTAAGCCAAACCTTGATAATCTCTTAACACAAAATTTTATATAGTTAAATTAGTAATCATGTGAATAGAACTGCTAACCTACGACCCAGGATACTCTTAGAAATACAAGGACAACAAGAAATTGAAGAGGAATATCTTTTGTGGCAAGTTCAAGAACAAGTAGATTTTCGAGAAGGGTCATATCAATACATTGAAGAGATATGAAATGATACCACGACTTATCATTATTTTTGACTGAAGAATACTGTTTAGCCTTAAGTTACATTACCAAAAAAAATAATATACATATATGATTACTGTATAACAAGTTTATTTAAAATCTTGTAAAGACAACCTCAATACTATTCAACTAATCTTATTTTAAAATACCAGAAGAACAAGGGCAATAAAAAAAAATTGCGCGATCTATAGTTGACAAGATCAGGTATTTGATGATGAGCAAATCTATTATCCGAATAAAAATCAGTCCTACAAGCTACAAATATTATTCGTAAAACACGGGCAATATAGTATAATTTTTTTCATCTGCAGTTGACGATACCTCTTTCGCTTACTGATAATATTCTTTAGACACTTAAATAATAATATTAAACACTTAAATGGTATACGGATACGCTGCCATTATTTACTTCGGGATATTTTACAAATATATCTGATCGACCTCTAACTAATAACGTTCAGTGCGTAAGTTTGAGACTTTTCGTTTGAAAATACATATATATATATATATCTTTGATTATGATTGAACTTTTGCGCTATAAAACAACTAATAAGCTTCCTAAATTAGAATTATTATCTATATTCTATACTATTTTGCAATACAACATTCTCGGCACTTCGGTTTCCAACAGTCAAGTTAACAATAGAAGATAGGCTATCCGTACAAAATAACAAAACGGCTAAGACCGCTGATGACGTTAATAATAAGCAACAGCATTTGACGCTTCTACAATTAAGCAGGCGTGGAATGTAAATGCATAAAATTAACCCTTTGATCACTTCGGTGCATAAGGAATATCAATTTCCTCACTAAAGACCGAGTTATTAGTAGGCAAAGGGTTTTACTGACATACCAGTGTGATAAAGAAACGAGCGATGACAGCCGTTTACAGACGCAAATTAAATCTGCTATGGCCTTGTCAGACTTGGGATCCTACTCACAGACTTGAAATAAGCTAGATTTATTTTCGTTTCATGTATGACAAGCTCATTTCGTTATGTGACAATTCACTCGAGACTGCATGTAATTTTATGTATATTCCCATCTCATGGGAAGGCCATGGTACGAATCGTTCGTCGACACGTAAGATATCACGTCCGCATCTTTCTGAAGTTCAATAAACTTACTTCATGTTATGTTTGGATATTACGAAACTGTCTGGACCTCGATTCAAAAATGCTTTATACAGTACCGAAGAATGCACCACAAAGTAATTTGCCCAACCATTAACGGTAGTGAGGATAATCATAAACAATGTCGACCCCTTCCGAACTATATTTCACGGCGCTGCAGAAGTGCGTGTACCAATATGGAGGAGGTAACTAATTTCGTTCGCCTACTTTACATCAAGTCGTATAAAGGTCAGACCCTTTAACCTATGGGCAGAGGGTATATCACGTGGCTTACACAGACAGTCCCCGAACACGTAATAGAACTAAAATAGGAAAAATCGGAATAAAATTATGGCCTAACCCTAACCTGGTATACCCACCACGGGAGTACCTAATTCACGGGCTTAATACAAAATAAAATAAAATTAATATTTTTCAAATAACTTTTAAAGTTATTAAAACATCTAAGTAATATTTAATTGAAGACCAAAGCTGTTTCCAGTTTAACTAGGTCGTCGAAAAACCTACGCCGTTGTGATGATTTTCTGAATGACCGCTTCTAGTGGCACTTTCATTAAAGATCATTTCCATGTTTTCCGAACATGAGATTGCATCAAAGATTTATGTACAAGTGTCCCCTTCTGCCAACAAGCCCGATGGATGACAAACAGCCATATTATTGTATCAAATATTCTCCGCGATATATTCTCCCAACCAAATTCCAATCCATGTTGAGTGTCTAACCATACGGGAAATCTCGAAAGTATTAAGCAAATATTAAAAACACACAACGGTGATGAAATCGAGGCGATACTGTGTGCGATTCGCTTATCGATACTAAGATGACACCATGTAGAAATATTAAAAATAAGCCAATACTTAACACCGATACGAATATTAGATCGCTAGATTGTAGGCGGGATAATTGTGATACTTCAACCTTTCGTTTAGAAAGGTCTGCGTGTCGTAAAGAACTAATCCATTATTTACTGCGATCGCATGAATGCAACAGATCAACATTTGAAGAATGAAGACTCTTAAAAATTGGCCGCTAGACGATGCACCAACGCAGATACAGTCACAATTCAGTGTCAAAACGTAGCGATTGGACAAGGTTCGTATCCTTTATGCGCAAACAACTTCGATTTGAAAAATGTTCCCATCGTCCTTCAAAAGTCAATTAATCACACAGCGATGCAAGACTAAATTTAACTTGTTTATCAGTTTCCTCTGCGCTAGCATGGTATGATCCTGTATAAAAATACGCATAATGCGATTGCAGACACTTCCTTTTGAAGAGACCGCATTCCGTCTTTGGTGGGCACAGGCAATAGACGAAAGAGTGCCAATATTTATTTTGCGAGTCGATTTATCTACAAGTCACACTAGGCAAAGTGATGGCATCGAATAAAGTCAATGCAAACTTCGATCTCTCAACAAAAGCTAAGAAAAATCTTCCGCAAATGACGTCAAGTAAGTTTTGTACTAAGTCGCTCCCAACGGACGAGCGTTTGAACTTGAGAGACAATTTTAACATTTCCCCAGGGAAAATTTAAAACAAAAATGCGCAGAATTGAGTATTTTTGGCTTAAAATAAACAAGTTAAATTTTATTATGTGATGAAAAAGTGCTCAATTGGATTCGAATAAATCTAAATACAGGTATAAGTTGTATGATCCCAGTCAACCAGTAAAAAATGAGACAATTTCAGCAATTGCGTAGCTAGTTATCTACAAGTGTTGGCTACACAGACTATATAATTACATCCAAATTGAAAAAATCCTATAATATGAATTACGGTACTCCCGTAGTATGTGTACCAGGTTAGGGTTAGGCCCTAATTTCATTCCGATTTTGCCCTATTTTAGTTCTATTACGAGTTTCGGGGACTGTCTGTGTTGGTCAAGTGAATATACCCCGTCCATAGGTTTACACAACTTGATGTAAAGTAGGCAAACAAACTTAGTGCCGGAATTATTGTTTTTCAGTGAAATGAACGTGTATATAGAGAATCGTGATGCTCGCGTTGGAAATCGATGTAAAACATCGCTCAACAATTTGATGTTTTCAAAATCCAGTAAATTTCCAGAAGTTGGTTTATTCTTTAAACTTATATTTGATAAGTAAGTTGAACCAAGGCTTATCATACACAGAAAAAAATTACGAATTTTTATGATCAGTGAATCCTATTCTTTTTATTCTCTTTTTCCTGGCGCCGTTATTAATAGGTCCTGGGAAAATAATTGAATAAAAATCTCATCGATTATGCTAATTGACAAGTATTTTATTCTGCATTTTCGGCAAGGATGAATGAAGTCTGTTGATTAGAAAACAAATCAAGCATAATACGATTAATTTGAAACATTTTTCCTTGACATAATCCTATGCAAAGATTATTGGACGATTGCGTTTAGACGTTGAAAAAAAGCCCGGAATAAAATAGAATTTGGAGCTAGTTGAAATTCTGTAATAACGAGACGGATGATGCCCACAATTTTTCCAACCTCCTTATACACAAGAAACCCTTCCTTTTCAGTAGTGTCATGCTTTCTTTCATAGATTATTTTTCGCGATTCAGCGAACTAGGCACCTAGAAACCCACAAAGCCACGTAAATGGATGTTTATAAGTCTGCATAACTATCTGATTCGGTGAAATAATACGGATTTTAAAAGCTAAAGTTCAATTGTTGCGTTACGGTTAAATTGATGATTAGATATTGTTACGGATATAAACAAGGAAGACGAACTCGCGGAAATATTCATGAAACAAGGAAGTTATGCTCGGAAAAAGCATCCATAAATTAAATAGCTTTATTCATACAGGAAAACGTAGCGATGATTTCTGCACAACTCGTGATTGAAAAGCCATTTTTGGGCAAATTTTATTGTCTTAATTCCGCTGATTTAAAATTAAAGATCATACCAGAAAGCGCGATCAAAACGCAATGTCAGTTTCATTGCTCGGAGGTTTACAAACAAAAAATAACACGGATAAATAAGACAAAATGAAAGAAAGATAAAAATTAGTGCATTGGCTACGATAAAAGGTAGGGGCCAATGTTAACAACATGAAACCCTTTTCAAGAAGACAGTCATTCAAGCAAAGGAGCAGTCGAGTTTGTCGACAACGTTACTCAAAACGCTTGTGGCAACTGCAAGCTTTAAGGAATGTGATTCAATGCGCATTAAAGTCTGTTGCGGTCAAGCCGACACTATGTTCGTCTATTCATGATTAAATCTTGTGGTATAAACGACCAGCATAGAAGACATTTTAATGAATGAGTATTAGCAAGAAGGGGGTGTGGTAAAACGCATGCAATGATGCGATGTCTTATCTCTCGTAAGGAAAAGCGCGATTGAAATTGTAGTGCCCTCGCGTTTGAGAAATCGCGATTCCATTTTCATTCATCTTGTTCAATAGGGGCTGATTCGTTGAGTGAAATATTAATTTTCTAATTCTGAAGTGAAAATTCCAGATCCGAATGCGGTACAATACGGGAACGACCGTTACAATCTGCGTCCAAAGCGCTCCTTTACTAATTTTCAATTTTATGATGAATAATAATTATTGTCCATGTAACTCTTGCAACGAACACCGATTCACGGTTGTAGATTGGCTTCAAATATCAGGAAATAGAAATCGTGGTGTTTTATGACAATTGTCAAAAGTCCAACGATTCTGCGATGACTTCTAATTCATTTGAAAGGCTGATCGATTTAAATCCAAGTAATAATTGAATCCACCGATGCATGATAACATAAACATATGCCCATATAAAATTGGCCGTTACTAATCTTTTGAATTACCAAGCGTGGACGGTCGATAAAATCCTCATTTATTCCTGGCCCACGCTTGAACTGAGCAGAATTTTAACCGATGAAATCGTTATCGATTTTGGATTTTAGCCTATAATCCGTCTTATAAATAAATTCAAAAATTTAAACATGGTAATTATAGCTACAAATTATCGATTTTGCGCTAGACAAAAATAAGATCAAAATATTCATGATTACCTTCTGCTGAAATAAAAAGTACTGCGAGTAATAAAAAATAAAGCTTAATTTAAAATACTTTTCAAGGTAATTCTCTTGTTGCAAGCTATCGGTAAAATGCATGGAATTTTTGGGCAAATTTGCCAAATAAAAATTTGGTTAGCTTTTCAATCACAGCAGAGATAATAAAACTCTTACCTGTTGAAAAATTTCTTGTGGCAATCATAGTTGTAATGATAGCACCCTGAAACAAGAAAAATGGTTTAGCAAACATGCAATAAAACCATAATAAAATCTTATTGCAGATATAGATAGATTTCTATTGGTGCCGATATAAGATAAACAGGACGAATAGTTAACAAGATATAAAAATGAAAAATCATATTTAATGCTATGGTTAAATTGAGATACTTGATAATTTGGAAGAATTTAGTAAAATTTTATCCCTAGGCACATTGATACCAAACAATTTATTCACTATTCAGTATGAATATAATACATATTTTGACTCGAATTAGGAATGGGCCACTGAAAAAAACTACAACACTTGACATGGGCTGACACCATTTATTTTATTGAAAAAAATGAGGTTTGTCATCTGTTTGAACCAAGTACTTCCCTGTAATATTTTCAGGAAGTTATGCGATACATTGAAATTATTTTGAAAAGCGGATATGCTGATGATTACTCATAGGTTGATAGTTGATGGATAATTGAACATGAGACATTATATAATTGTTTGAAATCTGACTAAAATACCAAATCTATCAGTGGGAAAGTTTTTGAGTTTTCTTCGTAAAATCTGGTGTATATTTCATAAAAATCGAACAAAACGGAGAATCCATCACTTTAGGTGCAAAAATATCTCAATGCTGAATGTTTTTTCTGAACTTTACTGTTGTAACAAGGATGTATACAAAGAACTAAGTTCCAACAAAACTTAATTAAAAAACTTTTACGTGAAAGTATATTTTAAAACTATTACCTATTGGTTCAGAAATATCACATATTCTAGTTGAACTTAAAAAAAACTGAATTAATTATGGTTGAACAAAAGATTTCGAAAAAAAATTATTTAAAGTTTATTAAAATGGACAGGTATTTCAATTTATTTCATAAATATATAAATGCTGCAGGAAATGAAAATATAACTTGAAAGTAGATGTCACCTTTAGCTTCCGTCGTGCATTGAATTTCTTGAGACAATCAACAGTGTCTTGACGGTGAATATGTGAGGCAATATTGTCCCTTTGCTGTGAAAGAATTAGAACAGATTATAACACAAAACTGATAAAAAGATGAAAGATTCCTATAAAAAAAGATACAGGGTGATACAGGAAAAATAATTAAAAATAAAATTTCAGAGGAATTTCAATTTCCAAATTAGACCAAATAATAAAGAAGAATGTATAACTGCACAAATTGCTTTCTAACGAGAAAGGATTAAAGGATCTTTTCAAATCACACTTCAGGGATGTATTTTATTGACTGTACATGTTTGGTTGTGTATAGTACTCTCATGTGTTTAGCAAATAATGTCAATTTTGCGTTCTCTTTGGAGTATGCAAATTACCTTAAAACTAATCCATAACCATTTGGCTCGTTATCCAATTATCTTGAAAAATGAAAGCAATCCAGAAAATGTATAAAAGTGAAAGACAATTTCAATAAAACCCATGGAATTTGATCTTAAATTGGGTCATCATGAGCAAATGAGAACCAAAATGAACCAAAAGATTTACATGAAAAAAGGATTATGTTAAATAAAGAAGATAAAAAGCTGTAATATTTTGACAAAAAAATTATTCAAGAGGTGTTTACCAGAATTTGGTTGTATTAAAGAAAAATTGAGTAGGTCCCTAGGAAAGCGAAAGCAGAATTAACATGGTGAAAAAGGGGGGATTCTAATAAGACGTTTTAAATAAAAAATAATTGTCTGTTATTAAAAACAAAATTTGAAAATTCAACCAAGATTTTGCAGCAATTCAAGTTAATTAGGATAAATACAATTTCATCTCTCAATCAATTATAAAGTACAAAGATATGAAACAATGTTTACCCTGGAATTATATCTTGGCCAGTGATGTGATAATCATCCTGACAAGTGGCAATACTAAAATTATGTTGAATCTAAGTGCGCAGCATTTTTCTGAATTCTTTTTACAGGAAGACTTTTTCATAACTATTCATCCTAACGTCAGATAAAATATTCATGTTCATTCATAATTTAAAAAGCCAAAGAGCACATTATGGATCAAGGTACTATTGTAGGTATTCAAACTGACAGCATTTCACCTAGAGATGGCAGGAAAAAACACTTAAGCTGATCTTTTAAATGCAGTAAAATGTCAAGGTATTACCTGAGGGCCAGGGTAGGTTCGGGCTTCATTAAACAAAAGCCACATTTGACCTTATATCACAGACTTAAGTAATGACACAAAAAAATATTGGACTTTTGTTAGTGTTTTGTTAAGTGCATAACTAGATGCAAAAATTTGAAAAAAAAATGAAAATCTGAATTTATCCAAATGTATTTATCTTATTAAGGCAGAAACATAATTTCAAAAATATTTGTTCGAAAATACATGATAACTGAGTGGATGAACTACGACTTTCATGGGGTGATTAAAATCAAACTTGAAGACTTCTAACTACCGAATCCAACATGAAAAAAATCCTCTATTACTGTAATTTCACACTAATCTCAAATCTGATATTGAAAATCAAGACGTAATCTCGTCTAGGCATATCATCAAGATTCAATAATTAGAATTCTTCAGATTAACAGCCAGCCGTTAGTTATCATTACTTTAAAATTCAAATGAACGAGGTTATTTTAACAAATTTTTTGACTGGCTGGAGCATTAAAGTGCAAAAGAGCAGGCAGATGTTGACATCTTTTCTTGTTAAATTTAAGCCCGCTAATATAACGGACTCAAACATAAATTATCTCAGGCCAATGCTACATTGGAGAAAGTAATTGACACCCATTATCTCCAAGGTCGAGAAGGGCTGCAGGTTTGGGCAAAATGACAAAAAATGTAAGATGCACAGAGAGACAGATGCCATGAATAATGCATTGTGCATTCCTGCAGCTCTCTGCATGGAATTTCTCAGAGTGCAGTAACTATTTTCAGCATACACTTTCCATTCAAAGCATTGATGACAAAAATTAGTCAAAATTAAGTATATTCAAAATGGGATCCTTAAAAGCATTCAAAAGTAATGATGAAATTGAAACATATAAATAGAAATATCATTTATTTGTTTGTACTTCAGAAAATAGCATGGTAATTTGAATATATGCTGTTGCAGCAAACCCGATTAAAGTCAAGAAAACAACAAAATGATAAACAAGATGTATGACAAATGATTGACCTATTCTCCGCTATTACATTATATTGCCAAAATTCTTTACTACATTGATAATAGCAATGTTACCATCTAAAATACTGTGAATGAATGAGGGTTTGAAAACAACTAATTTAAATAAGAACAACCATCAAACTATTTCATAGCATTCCATAATAGGTCATGAGGGCATATTGAAATGAATGCTTGTAAATAGAGAACTAATTAAAGAATTCATGAATCTCCATTTACAAATAATCTCATACTTGGGAAAATTTAAAATTGCAATTACATCAATAAAAAAGACAGAAAAGGGGGTAAAATCACTCAATCCGCAGTGACCATTGCCAAACCTCTCTCAGGCTAATTACAGATGCACGAGGAAGTAAAATCTTCAATTAACTTACACTTATCCATGGATGTTTCAAAGCTTCTGGAGCAGTGATCCTACTATTTTGATTAACAGTCAACAATTTGTTGATTAAATCTTTTGCTTCCTTGGTAACTGTGTCCCATTCAGGTGAAGGAAACTGGAAAAAATATAAACAATAAAAATAACAAATGGTAGATTTTACATAGAACTTAATATAGTAATTATCCAGTTCTAGTGAAAACCAATCAAGATATCTTCAACTTCAAATCAATTCTAATATTGTGACATCATAATGTACCAATGTATGTGTTGATTATAAAACAACAGAAGATCTCAAAACATCTGTCACTCAAACACAAATTCCATATCACCAATAATAACCAGTCAATGCAATAAATAGACAATGCTGTCAATATTTGCTGATTTTTACCTTGAATAAATTACACCAAATATTAGAGAATCAATAGCCAATTTTAAATTTCTTTGCATAATTTATCATAAGGTAGGATGATTTGCTCCCAGTGGAATGATGCATTAAGGAATTTAGGATGAACATATTTATATGTGAATAAATATGATATATATCCAAGACTGAAATCCACGACTAATAACTAGCTAATATCCAATATTTTTTAAACAGAAGATATTATGAGTCTTCCGTTGTGTTCCATTTGTAAATGCACCAATGGAATTAATGCAGCAAAAAAGCAAATGTGTATTTTTCAACTACTGAATATTATAAAACGATAATTTTAGTGTCTCATAAAAAGCATGTCTACATAATAATTGAATAAAAAAAAATTTTCAGCACTCAACATAAATTTGAATGCAACAGTAGTCTAAATTATATGGTGTTGATACACTCGACATGCCTTCATTGAACACATACGTTCGTAAATTCCTTTCAAGTACATAACAGTCTGTAAATAGGTACGTAAAGCCACAAATGTTTTTCAAATATGCCATTAATACTTATTCGTCCGAAACAGGAAATAATGGCTCACATGATAATGTACAACAATGTTTATTCATTCAGACTTTGCGTAAAATACATGCCCAAAAATAATACTTAATAAAATTGCTCATGCGAAAATATTTCATAAAGTAAACTTTTCAGCTATTCAGACAATGTAATATATTTAACTTCTTCATACACTTTTGTTTTATTACGGTAAATTTCATTTTTCTTATAAAGTATGTGAGAATTGAACCACAAGTTCAATAATTGTTAATAACAGACTATTTTTATCAACTTCATTTCAAAAACTATACGGCGTACAAATAGACTTCTATATTGTAGTCTAAAGGAATGTCATTCAAATTTTTCTATATTCTATATATCCACACTTTGAAAAGGCAAAGTCAAAAGAGATTGAGACTTACATCGTAAGCTGCTGCTTTGATCTGTTGATATAATCTACTTTGATCGTCATCCCAAAACGGTGGATAGCCGACGAGAAGGATATAAAGAATTACACCTGTGTTTAGAACAGTGTGACGATTATTTTAAAAGAAATTTTTACAATTTTGCATATACTTTGAATTTTCCGTGAATGTTCGAATCCAAATCACGAATAATTGTATTCATAAAAAAACTACAAGTGCATGAGCAAATTGCAGCACTTATTTTTACTTGGATGAATACGAAACGATATATAAGAAAAGTTTTATATTAAAACAAGATGAAACAAAAACGAATTATTGTCTACACTTACCACACGCCCACATATCCACAGGTTTCCCATAATTATCTTTACGTAAAACTTCAGGTGATAAATAACCGGGAGTACCAGCAAAACCTGAAACAATTTTTAAATGGCGATTTAACAAATTATAAAACTCTTCATCGCAGTTTTACGACAATCTGCAAGCAATTCTTGCAAATATTATTTGATTTTGTAACAGACAGGCAATAAAAAATAAGCAAAATCAATTTTCAACATATCTTGCATTCAAAAATGAACGAAGTGACTTTTCTTTAATGTATGAATTATGTACCATCCCAAATGGGTTCAATAATAACAAACTGTTGCAAAAGTCATCAAGGTGGAAAGGGACAGAATCAAATATTCATGAGATATTTGCCAGATATACCTTTTATTAGAAAAAATTTGTCAAGCGTAAATAAAATGACTGAAGAGCAAAGAAGTTTTAGACGTATTCCTAATTAACAAATCAATCAGCTGCAGGTTTGTGGTTGAAAATTTCATCATACCCTACCCATGATGCAATTTGCAATTGGAAGAGCAAGCCATTAGTACGTGTTTTGTGCATAAAATATTAATTATCTTGAAAATATATTTGCCGGTGCGGTATTCAAGTGCATTGGAGTGAATGAAACCTGTTTCATAATATAGAGAGTGAGACCAAATGAAAACTAAAGAAAGACCTGTTAGAATATATTTGAGCAAAAATGGAATAAAGAAGCACTAGGTTCAATACTTATTTAAATTGAAAATGATTGTAATTTCAATACAGAAACGCTAAAACTGGGTATTGTGTAATTTGTTTCTAACTTGGAAATCAATCAATATTTCCTTGAGAAAGAAAAATTATCAATTAGAATTAAAAATGTGGAAATATCTACCGGTATGTAAGCCATGGAAAAATACTATGATAATTTCCAAGGTTTTTCCAAAATCATTTAAGTACTGACAACATGTCGAACAAATATTGCTCAACTAAATCTAAATAGCAAACATTCCACCGAAAAGCATAGATAGAAATACCAGAATTATGCTGTGGTTCACTCAGGAAATGGTTAAAGACATTGTAACAATTTCAATTGGCTACAACTTAACTAGGCGGCCCCTGGCAAGTTTGGATGACAATTTTTTTCAAAAACAACATTTCGAAAAATAACGGGCTATCTAGTATTCAAATGTCTGTACCAGAATTACAAAGAGCATAAAGGTTTTTTTATTCTTCAAATCACAAATATCCACAAAGTTCATACTTAGTTTAAACAAATATTTCAGAAAGTCACAGTTTTGACATTTTTTTTATTTTCAAAATTGAATAGAATAAAGATTCATGAAATATCGTTAAATATACACATTGAAACCCCCTAGTTTAAAAACCTATAATATGCATAATGAACTGAAATATTGATAAAATTATGACGTAATTAGAATATTTCGACAAAATAAACAACAAATATTAAATGATGAAATAATAAAATTGATCAGCCACATTGTACTAATGAAAGAATTTGTCATCAGTGCAATGAAATGTAATAAAAAACTGATATTTGAAACATGTACAAGCTACATAGCGTTTTGTAACAGCAAAAGGGTAGACAGCGTACTGGTATATAATATGAGCAAATGTTTGCTCAGAGTCAATACCTGTATCACATCCCTTAGCTACCCGTAATTCAAAAATAACGAGTCAAGCATGGACAGATATAAATTTTGACTCATTCAGGTATGGATTAACCTCAATCCATGCAAGAATAGAGTAAAAATATATTCACCGGTATTTGGAAATAAAATAAGTGTATGTGCCTTGATGCATACAAATCCTACACGTACTTACCGAACCAAGACCTGTGATTGCCTGAGACTTCAATTGCTAAACCAAAATCTGCTAGTTTAACAATGGCGCCTTTTTGTTTGCTGGCCAGTAGAAGATTTTCCGGCTGTTATAAAAAAGCATTAAGTTCAAAATTTACATTTGCAAATAAAAAAAAAGCTACAGAATAGAAATATTTTCATCCAACACCATAAATTTATTCACCATAAATTTGTTACAAAAACATGCTTTGTTGAGAGTTACATAAGGAAATCACCAAGCACCTTTTCACCAATGAATACATAGATCACAAATTCAAAACAAAAATTTGATTTTTAAACACTTCGATATCATTACAGAAACCATTGCAATTTTTTAGCTGCAACTTCGTTAGGATTATTTAAAAAATAAACAGAAATAACATATGATGAACATTATTACTCGATGACCGCATCAGATAAGTATTAGACTGATGGAGATCACAAGGGAAGTTATTAAACTAGAATCATTTACCAAAATAAAGCAGCTCTGCATTCTACTGCGACGAACATTCCAAAACTTCAAACCAACCAATAACACACATACACAACTGAAAAGTTCTACAACACAAGTCAGGGCTGAGCCATCGATGTTTTCAAAGGCAACAATCCTATTGCAACCATGACAATGCTAGTTTTATATGAAAATGTGTTCCAAAAGCAGTTCAAATGATAATTCGGTCTCGCCAGTCGCCATATATTATATTCAATCGTTTCATCCTAGAAGAAGGTTTCAATTGTTTGGAAAATTTGAAAAGAAATTCTAACATGATTAAATCGAAATGAGTGACAGCATTGACAGAGACTTTAAACAAAACCAATTTAAGTGTTTATGAAAAATGAATAATTGACCACAATGTTTGACATATTTTAGGAGAATGTATCCATAAACCGAATTATATGTTGACTTGTTCGTTGGAATGTAAATAATATTTATTGATATTGATTATCAATGACCTTCTGTCTGCGGTCAATGGCTCAGCCCCAAACATTGTACAATGTGCCTGATTGTGGAATTGCACATAAAAACATCATTTTCAATGGCGCGTACCTTCAAATCACGATGCACTACTCCCATTTGGTGACAGTGTACAACAGCCTCCAAAATCTGCTGGATGCAATGACTACAGGAAGCAAAAGCATGCGAAAATAAAAAACAAAAAAGAAAAAATAGTCAAACAAATGTATGTTACGAGTAAATAAAAGAGCCATGCTTGAAATATTTGTGCAACTATTAAACCGCTTTAATGTTACACTACTAAGCATCTAAAGCAGGGTTTAAAACATGATGTATTTGGCATGATAAGCACTGTTTAATGGAAAACTAATGTTCTACAAGTTTTCAAATCCTCAACACCATGTCACTTAAAATTGCCAAACACTTTTGAACCTGATACATCAGTATATAATTTAGGTTGGAGAAAATCGCTATTGAACTTGATTGCACGAAATACTTATAACGTCAACAAATTGAGTGCCCAATTTACCAGGCATGTGGCAGAATGTTTTGGACTCATGAGTCATGACTATTAAAACTCAGCTCATATGCTGAATTTTTTGATATTATTTGTGACAAGGCATGAGATGTATACTTATGTACCAATCCAAGTTCATTAATCATGAACAACTTTAATATTACACTGTTTAATCACTTGTCATTAGTTACATAAAATACTGTTTTTGAGTATTTACTACTTAATTTTAAATTTTTAGCCTTCTTGACTAATAGTGTGAAATATTTCTCTTGTTTGCAAATAACCTACCGGAATGTATTTTAAAAGAAGTATTTTTATGATTCTCTCTTCTATGTATAGAAAATATAGGGATGCTAATTATGGTAAATTCATGATCATTTATTCACCACAGCTTGACATGATTTGCTGATGAGAAAAAATATTTAAACCTTCATAACAAGCCAAAAATGTTTATGGATGTTCACATTGTGTCAGGTGCAGAGACTACAATTTTATCAGCTGTGAAACAAAGATGGATTTTGTCTAGATTTTTGTAATATGAACGCTCTTATTAAGCCGCTGATCTGCAATGACTGAAACAAGCTAATTTATATTAAAATCTCGCAGAGCAATTGGAATAGACTTCTTTCGCATTCTAATATGTTCTGAGCCCTAAGGGAAGCTCATTGCTTAAAAATTTCATGAACAAGTAATTTTGCAAATTTATATTAGGGTAAGAACTTTAGATATTAATTTACTTGCTAATAATGGATATTGAATGGGCGTTCCAAAATCATGCCAGAATTCACACAGAACACTAGAACCATTCCTTTTTAAATATTCCTAGCTTTGTTTTTGATTTGTGCAACCTCTGACAATATAAATGTTTCCATATCAAAATAATCAGAAAAATGCGGTTTGAGTGTCTTTTAATCAGATGTATTTATACTCTATGTATAGCAGTCTTAGTGAATTCCAAGTTGCTAGCTGTTCAAAAAATGAACCATGCTGTAAAACTATTTTTGTTAATAAATCCTGAAAAAAAATAAAAGCCACCGAAACTCAAGAAACTACAAACAAATAAAGGAAAAGTGAAAAACTCCACTGCAAGCTGTTACTAAGTAAGTGCACAAATGTTCCACCATGCTTCATTTCTTCTAAGCATCAGTCTACCCACCAATCATGATTACCTTAACGTCTCTGTGCACAATGCTGTTCTGATGGCAGTGGTTAATGCTTTCAATTATTTGTTGTATACAACGACTGTGAATAAGGTTATCAGTGATTGAAATTGCGACCATTCGACCCCAAATAATAATAAAAAAAAAACATATATATAGGCTACTCGTTATTTTGCTGAGTAGTTGATTGTTTGAATATATGTTACATGAACCTGTATGGGCTCGATCCAAAATTGCACAAAAAAAAAAACTTTGTGTCCTGAATACAAGAAATATTTGTTGCTAATAAATGATAAACAATATTCTCCCCATCACAACATAACATATAATGAGTAATGTTATGTAAAAATATATTTGGATAACAACCTGTCAACCAGACTAGTATATCATTCATTATATTAATCAATATTAAGTTAACTTAATTAAATTCTATCGGCATATTGGACATCACCGCAGTATATTTATATCAGAAGTGACATACGAAATGTGATAATTGCTAATCAGATTAAAAGGAGACGCTTTAACTTATGACAGACAAGGTGAGCAGGCTGGCTTGGGAGAATAAAACCCTAATGCTTCACCAAAAACCAAACATGATAAACTTCAACGAGTCGCCAAAAAACTAATAATAATAAAACTTAATATTATCAGCTCTTGCATTCTGTGAAACCAGTGGTTGTTCAGTAGGATTGGTATGGGAAAATAGGAGACAAACCTATTGTAAAATACTTTCAAACCATGTCTCTGCTGTATGCTGATCAAATTGCAATAATTGGAACCATATTCGTTAAACTACGGAATACAAGAATGACCGTTAAAAAATTTCTACAATGATAAAAAAAAAATTTGAATTGAAATTACAATTACGATGAGATAGTCAATGATACAAACAATAATATTGAAATATACCTGGCATCTGCTTCACTGTAGTATTCTCTCGCTACAATATCTTCGAATAATTCTCCTCCTGTGACTCTGTAAGCATATGAAAACAAAAATTTCCAATCATTCAATAAACAGAGGAACTTGGACATTGTGGTCCTTTTCTCCTTGTTTACTTTCGACTTCGGATCCGCGTGTGGTACTCGCCACAAGGATGCTCGAACGGGATAGTATTTAAGTGATGAGTGAAAATAACATGATCTCTTTCAACGAAATAGTACCGGTAAGTATATTTGTGAGCTTTCGTTAGATCATGGTCTAACTTCTTCAAAACAATACAAGATATAACTTAATCGCTATTTGATTAAATTATATCTTGTATCGTGTTGCAGAAGTATACACAAATATACTTACTATTTCATTGAAAGAGTTCATGTTATTTTCACTATTCAATAAACAGTTGTGAATTTTGAAAATTTATCATAATCAACCAGAGGAGGTGATTCTAATCTATGAATGTTTCAAATTGTAGTGGTACCACTACCACCACTAATGCTAATGAGCTAAACTTCCCAGCAAAAGAAATAAGGGACCTCCTGAAGTATGCGCACCAAGATGGCACACAACCTGAACTCAGGTTGTGTAACAGGTTAGGGTTCAGATTGTGCGACATCTTGGTGCGCATACTTCAGGAGTATCGAAAAAAGTATTTGTCGGTAATTTGAATTTAAAAAAAATATTAAAATCAAACAACTAGGCCTATTCCAAACAGGTATGTAATAATGTAATAAGGTATATAAGTTGACTGTCACCTCAAAGTTAGGTAGGCAAGAAATGCTGTGACCATATTTGTGATAAAACTGATAGATAATTCAGAAAATTCAATGGTGTAAGTAAGTCTCATTCATTCCAACTTCAGTTATCATGAGAGACAGCAACACAATTGATAAGTTTTTTCATATTTTACCGGAGTGAAAATAAAAAAATTTCACATCTTCTTGATGAAAAAATAACAGTACTCACAGGTCAAAAACAAGATAATGGCACGTTTCCTCTGAGATGCTTGCATATAGCCGAACTGAAATGATAAAGCATAATTATTGCTCATAAATGTGATGTTGAAAATTAGAGAGTACATTGAATTTATTCTGCTAGACATTACTAACAGATGAACTAGGACTGTAGCTTTATGTTGAAAAAAGAACCAATAAAATAAGCAAAGTGTATACATATAAATACTACATTTGGTTTGCCAACAGGTAATATTACTACTGTTTTTCCCAATGTAATCTCATGTTACAATATTTTAAGCCAACATAATCGTATACCAATTACAGTCAGTTCATTATTAATAGTTGTTTTAGAATTCCAATTTCACAATTTTGATTTAAAGGATCCATATATAAAGAAAACACTGTGTCAAAAAATATCTATCCATTTTGGCCCTTGTTGGTTAGGTTGCCTATCACATTCATGTTAGATTAGATAAAAGCGGAAATCAACAGGCGACACAAGGAGCGTTTTAGTTGCCGGCTTTCCAGGTGCCATGTCGCTTTGTAATGATCATGCTGTTTATTAGGAGTGAAGATATAAGCCAAGGCGTTAAACACCCGTGGTATCGTCGGCGCCTACTGCGACGTCTGCGCCGGACAGCTGTCGCTTCCGATTTCGTAGGTAAGATACGAGGTATAGAATTCGATAAAATCTGTCATAAACATCTTAAAACTTCGATATTGAATGCAAATTTCCGAAACGTCGGCAAATTACAATTTCCAGTTTCAATCAACACATGTCGAAAGTTAATCATGTGACGTGATATCACGGAAATATTGACAATGCTATAATCGCTTCCGGCAGTTTGAGGACGCAACGATCAATAATGTCGATTTTATTTTGATCGAAACATTTGTTATTATCATTTAATTTAATAGGTAGCGTCAACCATCCAGAGGCCATGCTCGGTATACATAAATATAGGTTTCATTTCTATTATGTGTTGTCATATTTTGGTTTTCGATATGTAATACTGTAAAATTACAAAAAGCGGCCGCACAATAAGTACATTGTATTTTAATTTGAAAATGATTAAGAATATATTATGAATACAAAATAAGGGAACGTGATAATTTCCGTTGATTTCCGCCCACGCCGAAAGTGTCACACAGAATGTCGCCCTTTTCCTATTGCGCACATCTTACTTTGAGTAAGGTGTAATATGTTTTTGAGAAATTATTAATACAAGAACTTCCACATAACACGTGCAAAAGATTTCGTTACTTTCAAGGAAATTATGAAATCAATTGTGTGGTTGGTGACGGTTGTGCACGCACGCTGCGTACGAATTGCGTTAACTAAAATATTTGCAACGCAATGCCGCAGCAAGGGCGATGTTATGCGAGTAAAGCGGAGCGACATGCAACGTCAATCAGTTACGTATCGCCGTAAATCACCGACGGTTGGACACACTCCAAAAACATTGCTATTATGCTGCAAGGTATAGTTAAATCTAAGGTCCTCTACGCGTTGAAACCACCGTTTTGAATGTAAATTCAACACATACATCGACATGAACCGAACAATTTTTTAACCAATGTGCCACTAGAAACCGCGATTATCAAATATTATCTATTCTATTCGATTCTATTAGATTGCTTGCCAAGATTTTCTGGCTACTTGTGTTTAGTGAACTAATTCAACATATGGTAGAAACCACAGACAGCAAATGTACAGGTGTTCCTGTATCTGCTAGTGATGATACAAATAAGATAAAAATGGAATAATAAAGTAGATCCCATAATAGTGATTCCTATGCAAGTAGGTGCCCAAGAATGGATTTTATTTCAATAACATCATCAGATTAGGATTTTTCTTTAGTACGATAATTAACAAAAACTTTGTTTTGATACTTATATTATTTAAAATCGGTTCAAATTATCTAAAGTACAGAATTGGCCACATCTACACACAACTATATCCCTACCAGTGTGAATAAATAATATAGCATAGATAAAAATCCAATATAGCACGAACTCACGTCCGTAACCCCTTCTAATTTAGCTATTGTTCAAAATTAAATCAGTATGTTCGTAATTAGCTGTGGATAATTTTCCCATGGATAGCTAAGAACTGGATTCACAAAACGTGTCATGGACAAAAGATAATGAAAACAAGTAGTCATTGACAATAACCAATAAGGATGTATCTAAAACATCAAACAAGACAAACCAATGAAAGGCACAAAAAGGAAATGTAATCCCTAAAACTGAAGTGTATTATAAAAGGAGTGAGTGTGTGGTCTTACAATAAAACTGAGTCATCATTATCCTAATCAAAAATCATAAGAAATTTTAAAATACCAAGTATAATCTATAGATGATATTAGTATAAAAATATAAAAGATTGAATAAAATATTCTTCCGTGAATTTTATGAAGTCGTTACATATTTTAATAAACTTCAGTCTTGAAACTTTGAAGTGTCATCAAAGTAATAAGTTGCATTGGGAATATTTTATGTTCACCGCAAATAATGTTTCATTTTCTAAATTCAATAAAATTTCTTGTTGCAATTGCAAGCAATAAAAGATATTGAATTAGACTAAACTATTGCCTTCCACTTATAGCCTGTATTAATAAATTATAATTCATGATGCATTTCACAACGAAATATTGCAAAATATGCTAGCATTCATATAAATAATGAAACAAGGCACCTACCTATGTTTGGGTGTTTTAAGAGTCTGCATATTTTCGCTTCTCTTTCTAACTTTTGCAGATCTGAAATAAGATAAAATGATGTCAAAACAAAGATTTATCAAAGAGAATATCCTGTAAATTAACATTAGTAAAATGAACCACAATCTTCAATTAAATATGTGAAGATGTAGTGAGATACGGAGCACCATCTTCATGAATTGTTAGTTGTGACAAAAAATAAATAGAGAAATAATATACCTGATAACTCTTACCTACGCCCTCAAATTAAGGTAACGATAAAAACCACTAAATCGCATACTAAAAGTGAACAGATCAACTCTAATTACCAATATAAATAAAAAAGTGCAAATGACACACAATTTATGAGAAGGGCTTTTTATTTGGTTCTCAGAGATAAAAGAAAAGACCATTATGTTATTAGACCAATTCGATTTTAGGTCATACTGTCACCATTTTCCTCTTCTTCGCTTCTTAATAGTTATGAATAATTTATGATAAAAGAAGCTATAATTTGCAAAGTCCAGGGGTCTCAAGATAATATTTCTTTACAGAGCTAAAATTAAACACTGCATCTATCCTCCATAAGAAATATCAAAAATCAGAGACTGGCACTTTCCATTTGGACTTTGATCAAGCACAGCGGCAATCAAAAATTTAATTGACAATAAATCCATAGAGATACTTCAACTTCCTTTATAGAGAATTTCAAATCTAATGTAAATTGTTTAAAAATCCCAGTATTAGCTAAATACATAACCCAAGGTCAAATTTTTGATATCAAACAGATAAATGAAATCTAGGGCATCTGAAATATTCAATTCACTCATGCCCAAACCCCCCCAAAATGATTTGCTTCGGGTATTAGAACCATTGTCAGCAATTGATATGTATTATGTATTATTGATATGTATTATTATTATTATTATTATATGTATTACAAACTAGATGGTATAAACTCTGTATCTTGTATTTTATATATATTATACCAGTAAATATTCATATACTGAACATAAATCTATTTTGTATTTTCAAAAAAACTGTCACAAGCACATAAATTTAATACAGTCGTACAAAATCAATGATGCTAATTTGCATGTCCATATTATTAAGAGATATGTAAAGGAATTACAGAATAATATCTGACACATCATGTTTAAAATATTGACAGCCAGTACATCAAGTTAGAGAATGACAATCTGTTGTAAGCATTGCAAGAAAAAACATGACAGACGGTCGTCGTTTAAACAGCATTGAAAGGTAATATTGACAACAATAAGTCTGTTCATTAATAATTTGTGAAAACCTAGAGATGTAATTATGGACTGTAAAACTAGAAATCTTCTTACAAACCTTTGCAAAGATAATGAAATCTTTCTAGATATCATATTGGCAATAATAGAATATGGGCTTTGAGTGTCAATCAAGTAAGGGATATTTATGAACCATGATGTCATGTTAGTACTAATATGCAAAAGCATTAAGTTAAGAATTTGAGTGCGAATTTAAAACTATCTATTTTAATAAGCTCTAATGTTCATAAAAGCTGCATGTAACTAATGACTGTTTACTGGTATTATAAACAATATCACCTTATTATTCAATATGTCAACTAAATAGTATGTCTGTATGATGAATAACTTTGTAAATTGAGAAGACTTTATAAGAACTTATTCATAAGTATGTATTTTATAAAGGATGAGAAATACAAATGCCAAAGTTTTATACTGGCTCAAATGATAAAGGAATTTGTAAACTACATTGTTTGAAGAATAAATGCTTAGCAAATAACCCCACGCCTTGCCGTACTTCACCATCCAGCCCACGCAAAACCGATAAGGTAACGGACACGCCCATACCTTGTCAATTTTTGCACATTCAGCTCATAGAAACAGAAAATATCCCAATAGAGCATAGAATAATAGTAAGATTTTTCTGCTGCATTATTCGAAATCTTATCTAAATTTTACAACTGAGTGGTGTAAAACAATTGATTAATAATAATAAAAATCAAATCGAATATAGAAAAAACATTACAAACATACAGATAAACTCTGATGTAAAATGACTAAGCAAACCAAGCAATACAGCCTTTAATGAGACTATGATATGGAAGCATGCAGTCTGATAACTATGCGACAAGGTCTAAATTTAGAACAGTATTTTGACGATGATTGGCATTTGGCATTTCATTTAGTGGTCTATTGAATAACAGAAAAACAACTTCCCTAAGGTTTTAAAAACATTCATTAATGAAAAAGAAATAACAGAGAATTTCAATAATTGAGCAGTAGTGGCACTTAATATGCAACACTGCTTTGGAGAGTTTATTAGGATATAATTTTTTAGATATCGACAAACCTTTCATGTATATGGTAATAAAACCATAACAGAAAATTAATTTTTGAATTTTTCCACATTTTTTGTGGTTGATGATGCTTGAAATATGTTTCTATAATATTACGCTCCTTATCTGGGATCAATATAAAGTTCTACAGAAATCTTTTTGTAGCTTAATTATCATGCAAAACTAGAGATTCATTCAAAATAATATTTAGTTTTTCATATCCAGATGCATAGTTGATTGAATGTAAAGAAAGATACTGAGGAAATGTTTCATCATAAAGTAAGTATACCTCGTGGGCTCAACTTCCTTGTATTTATTATTTTAGCAGCGTAGTCTGCACCAGTTTGTCTTTGTACACATCTTCTCACGATACTGAATGCTCCTCTGTATTAATTGAAAAGATAGAAAACATTAAATTTACTACAAATGAAAAGTGTTGAATTGAATTTAATACAATATCCAATTTTTGTCATTGATGAAGTTGAATGAGCAGGACTAAATGAATAATATTTTTTGAATATAATTGTTAGGTCACAATGTATGCAATTTGGCTGTCATATATTTCCATTTTCATCATATTGGGAAAGTCAAGATTTATATATAAATTATTCTTGACATATATATTAGAATAGGACTATATCATTTCCTACAATAACAGAGTCCTGAATTACTTACTTTCCCAAATCTTCTTTCAATTCATAAACATCAGTAAAAGCTGTGCCTTTTGAATTATCATTCATTCTGCTCATTAGATGTCACAAAAAGTCCTAATTGGCCAAAAAATCCTTTCCGATTCCCTCCTTTTTCAGTCTTAATTAGGTATACTGAAACTTATGATTTCATACCAAATTACCCACTTAAGTTCACTAAGAATGCAACAGAAACATAGAAGATTGCAATATTAGTAGATCGTATTTTAACGTGTCTTTTCATCGCGGGGTATTCGTTGTAAGCTTGAAGATATATATAGAATACAACTTTTCAATCACAACCATAGCACAGGTTACTATAATATAGCCTCGACATACAGCCACAAAATGTAACTAATGCCATATATCGTGACAAAATGATTACGCCAAATTTTGAATTAACAACTATTAATTTTAAAGGAGTATCTGGCACAGAAAAACTAACACAATTTGTGTACTTCATGTGGTTATGATATAAAAATTTCACTCATTTCAAAGTCTTGTTCGCAAACCACAAACATCTCGAAAAAATAATTATATTGAGAAATGGCATTGTTTAAACTGCAAAAGTGCACTGCCGACAAATATTACTATCAAGTTGTATGGGGGAAACTTTGTGGAAGGTATTATTTAATCATATCAAATAACTTTATCAAATAAAGAATGACATTAACAATACGCTGATATAAGTAAAAATAAGTGCTTCACTGACTGGTAAATTAATTGGACAATATCTTTACTGCATCTGTATACCTAGAAAAAGCATCCAGTAAACTTCGCTAGACACTGACACAATATACTTGCACAACACGAAGAATCAACCACCTAAAAGATTTTGAAGTCCTCAAACTATAAACATTCCCAGGCTTCCTTGATAATAAACATAGATCAATGGTTGATAATAGATACTAAGGTGTGAGAAAACTCTATTGTACATATCTTAGATGACTCAGACTGATAGGTGTCAAGTTTTTAATGAGATAAAATTGTAATTGATTTCTATGCAATAAGCTGTGACCTATCAACACTTCCTCCATACAGCCATAGAAGATTTTTGGAATACTTCAACAAAAACTTAGAAATTATTATTTGAAATCTATAAATACGCACTATGCAATTGTCTGGCATTCCTGTATTCTACAAATCTGATATGGATATGTGATCGTGGTTTCAAAAAGACTCAGAATTGACAGTGAAGTAAGTATATATCGGTATAACAGTAAAATACTGAATCAGATTCAGATATTCCACATCCTCTAAATTATGAAATGCCAAGCACACAATTTGAAAAAGGACAAATACCGGTACATATTTAAGATTGAAGTACTATAAATAAAAACGAATTGTATGTAATTTGACATTGGTTTTGAGAATACCACTACTTTAACTTAACTACAGTAACTATCAGAGCATATAAGTTAGTTACATTAGAGCATTACTGTCATGAATTGATTGCACTCAATTGATGAACTGTATCTAGAACTTGAACTTCATAGCATAAACATTTTTTATTTGAATCCAATTTACTTCCAACATCAGACCTCGATCTAAGAAATCGAATAAATATAAAAAAATCTTTTTAATTGTGGGAAAAATTAAGATATCTGAAAAGTAAAAATAGTAAATCTAACCTTGCCTAGCTTTGGAGGCGCAGTTCTTACCACTTCATGGCAGCTCCTGCCACGAACGAACCGCGGCAGCTCTTGCCATGGTTTTATAGCGCTATTCTGTATTCAGTAATCAGTATTAACGGTATATTCACAAACTAATGTACCAAATTCTAATTGTTCATGCGGAATTATATCTACTTAAATCCTAACCCTAACCCCAAATCCATCAAGACTGTATCCATAAGAAAAACGTTCCAACTTACCCAATATTTGTCACCCTAAGGGACAGCCCTGTCCTTACGGCCCACCTGCCGCGGTTACGGCAGCAAAATTTTACCTGCCATTGGTTTTCAATTTGCTGCCGCGGTAACGGCAGCTCGACATTGGTTTGTGGCAGCTAAAAAGTCAGTCGCCATAGGTTTGGCCGTAGCGGCCATGGTATGGAAATACCGCCATGGTTTTGCGGCAGCTGCAGACGCCATAGAATACTTAAAACTGCACTTGTAGCTTTGAGTAAAAACATTGCTGAACATCAGGCAGTGTTTTTTTGAAACTGAGGCATAGTGAAGTGTTATATTGTTATTCTAGACTAGTCTATATCTCAATACCTTCAACACTGCAACAAGAGAAAAAAATCTAGTCTGCCAGTAGATTACAACTACGAGTAATATAATTTTGTTATAACTTCCAATCTACATAATTTATAGAACATCCCTTGTACCGGTACCGGCACAGACAGAGAGCTGGCTATTCAAGTCCACAACCAGACAACGGTACGGTACCGGTACCGGTTCGCCCAGGCATACATCGCCAACATACCGTAACGGTACTGACATTAGCCCAGCAGGCTGTCGTCGCTTGTAACTCAGTAACTGCATAAATGTCAATCGCAACAGGTCGCTGCAGTGAAAAAATATTTAATGACAGAATGCTGAAACTTGCCGTCACATAAAATATGACAGCGCCCATACTGCAGTAGACTACCGATACTGCACAGGTGCCAATGCCGTACTGAAGTACCACTGCGTGAGCCCTATGTAGTGATGTCACTTGCATTCTGGCAGTAAAGCGGGCTACTCAGCTATTTTCACTAAAGGTCCGTTTAGAAAACTTCAAAATTACTGGGGTCCGGACATTATAGAATATTTTTTTCATCAAATAAACGAAACGTCAAATGATGGCTCGCAAATATCGACACAAATGTCGCATGTTAATACCAGTACGACAAACTGTATAGCTGTGTATTTAAATTGTATTAAAATCATTTAAAACTACCAAACGATGCTTATGCTGCCAAAATAAACAAGCATACGCGGTCCAAAGAAACCTTTCCCCGAACATCGACTTCTTTACTTCGTAGCATTGGCCAATCAGAAAGATGCAAAAAGTGACGTAACAATGCTCCCTTTTCGCATCCGCGCAGACACTTTTCTCACTCAGACAGATTTTCAAGCGCGGTCGTAAACATTACCCCGTTTTCGCGTTTTCGAACTATATTCGTTAGTTTTCTGTTGTGTTTCGGAAACTTAAATGTAAATCAGATAATTCAATGATTACTCTGTCTTCCTAGAAGTTTTAATTTAATCGCAGCAATAAAAAATTAGTGTAGAAATAGCTGTGATAGACTAGGCTAAAATTCTTTACCGGTTCTTTTGAAAATCAGATTGTTGTAAGCGATGAAACATGATGATGGTTTGAAACACATACCCCATTTTACAGGCGCCAACTCGCAAAAGCACTTTTAAAATAACCCACGGAAATTTTGCAATGGGAAAGTAGGAAAAGGGTCAAATTTTTCGGGGGTCAAAGGTCTATTCAAATGGTCGAAAGGTCCGGATTCGGACCGCGGTCCGCCAGTCGAGTAGCCCTGGTATAGACTAGAATGGTCCAAGGTTGTCGTTCTCGGGTGTCACACTATTATTTTTGGATTGTTCGAGGGCCACAATAGTTCCAGGAATAGGTAAACAGTGCAATTAAAAACAAACACTTATATTGTCGAAACACAATGATAACTATTTGTCACTTATCAAGCTAAAACATGCAATAAACCACCAAAAAACTCACTAAAACGTGCAAAAATCTTACTATATCTACATTTAGTGTAAGATTTCAAACTCTTCATAACGGAGAAATTGCCATAAAGAGAAAATGCCGTTTTAGATTGTCACCGACACAACTTGCAGACATATCAAGCAAGCATTGTGGTATTTTCCCTCCCATGACCAGTCTTCTTTTCAAACTCATGTTTACAAAATAACTCACAAATTACTGCAGATTGATTGATTACTGAATTTTACCAAATTTAAGATACATAAGGGTAATTACTAAATTTTTTGACATATACGCAGCATTTTTTTGTAATACTGTTTAGGCTGGTTGCAAAAAAAACCGGCACAAATCATATTGTTTGGCCCTTAGTCGTGTTATGTCAGTCGTTGGTTTGGACATAACATTAATATTTGGTTATCAGGCATATCCAGGGCTGCCATAACGTCCTGTTTTTTAAGATTTGTCCCTATTTTGAAGGTACAATGACAAAACAATAGCCTAGCGAGAGAAACAGATAGTTTCTAAGAATAAAGAACCGATTGAGCAAATCCTTTTTAGTGTAAAGTATGATTAGACACGGGTAGCACTGGCAATAATACATTTTGTTTATTTACGTTTCGTTTTTTGTTATCCTATTAATATGTTTCCCTGATGTCCTTATTTTTGGGTTTATATCGATGGCAGCCTTGGGACAACCTAGGCTAATAAATTCCTCATTGAATTTTTCGTTTTCTATGGAGCATATTTTGTTAGCATATATTCCCGACCAAAAAGATAAAAGGCCAATAAACAATTAAGACTAGTCTAGCACATTATTTAATATTGCTGCCGTAGTTGCCTCAGCTAGCCGTATCACTAGTCAATTCGTTGACATTAGTGATGTAACAATATGTCAAAAGATTCTTCTGAGTATTTTTTATAACAAAACAATACCAAATGCGATTTGATTTTTTGAAAGATCGACCAATAGCACTTGCATCGAGAACTCTACCTTAGCAAAATGGTATATATTGTATTCAAACGTATGCATTGAAATATCAACACTGGCTATTATATTTGGATCTGAGGGATTCCATGGATATATATATATGTGTGTAAATGAATTCAATTGATGTTGAATCATATATATCAAAAACATTTGAAGAGTATGCTAAAGAACCCAATTCATAAGATTACAAAGATTTGTAATTAGATAATAATGTGAGTTATGTACCAGGAAAGTTCCTATATTTCGCAAATAGCCTACTTCTTCTTGAGAACTAATATTTCAAGCAATTTGCAAATGCATGAAAAATATTTCGGAGAAAGTCGAAGACCCATATTTGACACTGGCAGCATATCGAATTAATCAGGTTGGGGGATTAAATGCACACCAGCACACCTGCAAGATTTTTGTTATCGAAAAGATTGAGATCTACCGTGCCGGTTTCTTATGAAATATTGATATCAGGAAGGCCATCGAATAAATATTAAGGTCTTCTAAACACGCATAAAAATTCCTATGATCGAAGGGCAATGCATTATATGCAATA